TTTTTGATGTACTTTGAAATTATTAAATTAAATTAAATGACTAAATGGATGAAGAAGTATAAATTTTTTCAATAATTAATTTCAGAATTTATAAAATAGTTAATTTTATACCCCTAATGTAATAGTTGCTCTTGTGTTTCAAGAGATTCCTCTAAAATCTAAATCATTAAATGCATAGGAAAAATTCTAATAAACAAAAAAAAAATATTCACAACATAATTATTAATTTTCATATAATTTCAGAAAAACAAGACAAGCGTTAAAATTTGAAAGGAACTAATGCCAACCTGATTCATATTTATTAGGATTAGTGATTAGGAATGGCCACAATTAGGTTTAATTTTAGACTACTTGATTAAATATAAACCAAATTAAATTTTTTTAAAATGAATTTTAAATTGCACGAACTTATTTTCAAAAAATAAATTATGTAAATCAAAGGATTTGGTGTAGCTTGATTTAATTTAATAGTTTAAACCATTTAAAGCAACGTACCATTTGCAAACTAAAATGATAAATTATGCTAATAAAATATTAATCGAGATAGTAGGTAACTTTAATCACACAATCTAGGGGGAACATTAAGCGGTTTAAACAGTAAAATCAAATCAAACTGTACTAAACTGCCAGTTGTAAATTTTAATTTTAAATAGTTTGGTTTGATTTATAATTTAATAAACCACTTTCAAAACAATTTGATTTGATTTTTATTTAATTAAACCATTTAAAACCCAATCAAAATCCAATTAATAACAAATTCCAAACCTGTAACTTAGTTTTTAATGTCATTTCTTATGTTCTTTAAGTATTGAAAGAAATTTGTTTGCTAGTTAAATAAAAAATCACAATTTAATAAACAAAAATATCCAAACCTGTACTATTAGTATAAATCTTAATCGTCATATATTATATGATTCATTTAAGTTATTGAAAGAAATATTGTTTGCTACGTTCACAGAATTTAAGTATTGAAAGAAATTTGTTTGCTAGTTACAGATTTTTTAATGTCATTTCTTAGTTTTTAATGTTACATTTAATTTTATTGTTTTTATAAATTTAAATTGCAGAAATTGATATTTATATGTTATGTTTTATGTTATCAACCAATTGAGCAATTGTTTGCTAGTTATAGATTTTTTCTTATGTTTAGTTATAATTAAAACAATTTATAATTATTTTAATGATATCAAACTGCAAACCAAATCATACCAAACCGTTTTGTTGTGGTTTGATTTGATTTAATTTTATTAATAAAATGGTTTTATTTGGATTAACAATTTTACCCTCAGTTTTTATTTGATTCGAAAATCTTTTCAAACCGCGCCAAATCAACTCGTGCTCACCCACTACCGCAACCATCGGAACAAAGCTTTGCAACCCGTTAAAAAAACAATGGTAATGTGATAGTATTGCGTTTTTGATTTGTCGTGTACAGTGAAAGGGACAGCCACTGGCTCATGATGGCTTCTTTCCTATTCTTTTAGAGGCAACCATCACACTTGCATAATAGGAAGATCGGCCTGCAAATATTTCCTGGTTGACGCCTTGACGAGTCTCTTCTATATCTAAATTATTGGACATTACTGTTTCTCCTGTTTCTTTTTCTTTTCTTTTCTTTCTTTTTTGGCAAAGACTTGGATGTCCTGAGAATCAAACTATTTCTTTTTCCAATTTTTGGAGGTCTGAAAGCAGAATTTTCTCTTCTTCTGGTTCTTTTCGGGAAAAATAATTCTGGGTTTTGTTTCTTTGTTTAGTGGAAGTTGGGTTTTGATGAAAAAGAAGATATATGTGCATATATTCAGTGTATTGTTTAGCAGCAGCATCATCATCATCTATAAAGATTCTTGGCTTGTTCCTTTCTCTTTGCTTTAGCAACTTGAATTTCGCTCTTAGTTGGGTTCGCTTTGGACGGTCTTCTGTTGGTTTTAGAGCTGAGCTTAAAGAATTTTCCAAGAATTTGTATTTATTCCAAGAACCAATGTGTTTAAGGGAAATTTTGTAAGTCAAGAATTCGGCTTTTGCTAGCTTGGAGGTTGAAGTGCTAACTTTTTGTCAAGGAAAGGAATAGTTCGTGTGTTTTTGTTGCTTCCATATTAGCTGAGGAGGTGCTTCTCATAGTAGTTGTGTTTTCAAATTACCAGGTAAGGCTCTTTTACTTTTTGTTTTTTATTGTTTCTCTGCTTCTTCGCTTATATGATTCGCAGTAGTTAATAAGATGGATTCAATGAAGTTTTTCATCTTCTTTCAAATGTATGCATAGGAAACCAATGGGTTGGCCTTAGAAAATTTTAGGAATGCTTAAGATCTCTGATGTATGAGTATGCTATTTGGTTAATTGATTATTTTTTATTCAAAAGCGTCTTAAATTATGGCCAATGATGAGTAAGTCTATCTGGATAAATTAAGCCATCTATTTGTGTATGCACTTGTTTACTTGATTTTGTCGTTGTTGTTGGGACGGGGAAGATAGGGTGGGGGACACTCTAATTTGACATATCTAGGCAAATATCACCTCATCTTTCAAACGTTCAATTCTCAAATTTTATTCTGATAGAAACACAATTATGAGTCTTTCAATGACGATTATCTACCCTTATGAATTTTCAACTTGATAAACATAGGCAGATCTTTTTAACAAATCTTTTTGTTGTCTGGGTCTGTAGTGATTTTCATTCATAAACTAGTATCATAAGTTGTGGAAATCTGAACTCAAAATTTATTGTTAACTGCTAGTGCTGTTGATATCTTGAACTCAAAATTTATTGTTACTGCTAGTGCTGTTTGATAAGATTTGCTGCTTATAGGTGAGGTGTAGTTATGTGATATCTTCTGTTCTTATAATAAATATCTTTTGATTAGTTATATGTTAGCTTTTATTTAGCTATCCCTTAACCTTTTACCTTTAATTAATGGCAGAAACCTGCATTCTTCACTTGAATGGGGATTGAAGTGATGATGTAGTGGAACCACTGCAATACCAAAACTTTCCGTTTTAAGGTATAAGTGTCAACAGACAAGTCAATGATTTTGGACTTCTGGAATCTGACTTCAAAAATATGCTGTTTAATTGCAATTCTGCATTGTTAAAATTACGTGAATGATTCTCGCAGATCAAACTTTATTAGTTTTCTTTCGTGTTTTCTGGCCATCTAATTAATGTACTTCCTTGAACGAATTAGAGTAATAGACAATAAAATATCGTTCTTTGTTTACAGAGGGATTTGTGAACCAAACATGTCCTTTGAAATGCTCTTTTATGGTGTTGTAAGAGAATTTTGTTGTCTAATTTGAACTTATGAAGTATGAAAAACCTTGTGCCCTTGTTGCTTTTAACTGTTTATGGCATTTTTTCCTTTTTTTGCTGCCAAATGAGTCGAGTTACAAGTGCTGTGGCAGAGGAATGGCCATAAACTTTGGGAGACTGATGAATGAACTGCTTCCTGAAAAATGGTTGATGATTTATCTAGTAAAGGAATTTTACATTGCAACTTTTTTTTTGTTTTTCTGTATTTGTTTTTAGCCTTTCATTTGAATTCAGTTCTATTTGCATTTGATTCAGTTCTATTGTTTTCAAGCTATCTTAATTTTATTCATCTTTGCAGGTGCATCATTTGATGTGCACAGAATTAATGAAATTAGTTGATAGAATTGGAAAACTGTTTCCAGAAATAGAAGCAGCTCGGCCACGATGCTCATTCGAAATTCAAGCACTGTGCGTGTTAAATAACACAATTGAGAAAGCCAAGCAGATTCTTCGGTACTGCCGTGAGTCTAGTAAACTATATATGGTAAGTATGCTGAAATACTTTCAGATAAAGAAAGTATGCTTAAATACTTTCAGATAAAGAAAGTGGATAAAATAAGAAATTCATCATTCACGGATGCATGTGTATGCATATAGATTCACAAATTTGTCTGTGTCAGTTATAGAAAATTTGTCTGTGTCAGTTATAGATGTTAGATGTAATTTTTATCTTGGTGTTTGTTTTATCCTTAAATTTCATAAACAGTATGTTTTCAGATGGATTTTCCTTTGTCATATTTTGTCATTGGGAAATTCATGCTCTGAAACATTCAACATTTGTGTAGAAATTGGAATATTAATTTTATTTTTCCGTTCCTTTTACTCTTCGGTATCAGCAGTACATTCACTTAATCCATTAATTTGTGGTTGATAGTGCTTCTTGCATCACTTTTAGGTAATAACAGGAGAAGCGATAGTTTCAAGATGTCAAAGAATGAGGAACAAATTTGAACAAAGTTTAGGCCAAATCCAAACTATGGTTCCAACTCCGTTGGCTTCTGAGGTTTGTAAACATACACGCCTTTTGAGTTTTCTTTTTGTTCTCTCTCTCTCTCTCTCTCTCTCTCTCTCTTTCTTTTTGTGCCTCTATGCGGATAATAGACATTCTTCAGTGAGAAAATTACAGAACTTCAGTGAGAAAATTACAGAACCTGTTTGTCTGTAAAAATTCCTTGGTTTTCTTGCCTCGACATGTTTATTTCCTGATGCTAGAATATTTACATCAAACTTATTCAAATGTTGTTTATACCCGTATCAATAGCAATAAAGCTCTCTTTATGCCCATCATCTCTCTCTTGGTTTTTGTGATTTGTTTCCCTGAAATGGGGATGCAATTACTGCTGGAATAGTTTTCCGCGACAATCTGATTGGTGATTGCTCAAATCCAGGGTCCAAAGTACACAAAATGGAATCTAATTCCTTCTTTCCAGGTCATCAATATATAATCTACATGTTACTAACAAATGAACCCCCTGAATCCTGTTCATTCCACGTTGCAATTTGCAGCATTCTTTTTGTTGTTTTTGCTAGTTTATCTGTTATTTAATATTTGAGTATCTAGTTTAAAGAAAACAACACCAGCGTCTGTCTTTTTAGATCAGCATCAGCTTAAGTCTATTTTGTAATTTCTATATCATACTCGTATTCTTGAGCATCAGTTCTTCGGTAAAATGGATAATTGAACTTTTTTTTGCAGATCTCTCGCCTTATTGATGATCTAAATGCAGCAAAATTTATGCTGGACTCTTCCGATAAAGAGGCTGGTAAGGCTATGCGCGAACTGATTCAGCTGGACCCTTCTCAATCTGATTCAAGGGAATATTCTGAAATAAAAACACTTCAAATTGCTGCTTCAAGACTTCATATAACATCCCGAAGGGCCATACTAATAGAGAAAAGATCAATTAGGAAACTGTTAGATAGAGTTGGTGACAATGATCCTCCCAAACAGAAGATCTTGAAATACCTTCTTTATCTGCTGAAGAAATATGGAAACTTGATTATGGAGGAGCAAAAAGAGAATCCTACACCTCAGCCTGAAGGATCAGTTGGACCCATGAATTCTCCAAATGTTAATGTTCATAGCCTATCTGGTGAAGAAGGTGTTGATATAGGACATCAGCAGTTTGAGGCTCAAACTGATTTTCTAGACTGGTTGGAAGTATTTGACTGGTTGGATGAGCGTTCTATGTCCTTCGCCAGCTCTCGTAGTTCTATGAGTGAAATGCACTGTCACGACCCATATTTGGGGCCTTGACCAGTGTAAGGCTAGACCTTGTCTAACCGCACAAGCCTAATGTGTGTAACTACTTGAATTAAAATACATAAGGAAATGCTTGAAAATTTTACATAAGAATGTAGAAATATTTCAATGGTTAATACTCAATGGGGTAGACTTCAACATAACCTGCAAGTAATAGGGAAGCCCAATAGATTCTTTACATTTTCGCAACAGAATTCCGAACTAACTGGGCATTGTCATTTTGCTTGGGTTTTGGAGATTGGGCTGAAGCCCAATGGATTGAGGGGAGCTCTTATCCAGATCATTAGGCTGATTTTAACTAACTGCATTGGGCGTTTTTTTGAGTTTTACGCACGGTTCGTTTTCGAAAAATAAAATATTTTTTAAGAGTAATATTTTTCAAGTGATTTATTTTCCTTTGTTTGATTATAATATTGAAAATTAGTTAAAAAATTATTAAAACTTTTAACTCATAAAATTATAAAAATATTATTAATAATAGAAATTTCATATTTTAAAAATTTTATTTTTAAATATGAGTATTATTGAAAATTAGTTAAAAACATATTAAAATTGTTTAACTCATAAAATTATAAAAATATATTAATAATACGAAATTATCATATTCTAAAATTTTATTTTTAAATATGAGAAGCAAAAAAAAAAAAAAAGAAAATGCAAAAAAAAAAAAAAAAGAAATTATGAAAGTCGCCGATGATCGACGATGGCTAGTGGTGAATAGTGATCGGTGATAGTACCTACTGATGATTAATAAATTAAAATATATAGATTTATAAGGTTATAATAAGTTTGTTAACGTCTGAAAAATATTTTATTTTTTTAAAGATGGGAAGTCATTTTCCTTAAAAATGACTTTATATTTCTTTGACTAGGAAAATTATTTTCATTGACTTATTTTTCTGAACGTTCTCAAAGGACAGAAAATTGTGAAAAATATTTTCATATAAGTTATTTTACGAAAATAAACGGAATTTTAGTATTAAATGCACGTATATGTTGGCCCTTCCTAATAGCTTGCGTAGAAACCATATGCTATTATCATCCCCCAAATCATTATTAACATTTTGATTATTTAAATCATTATTAAAACTTGATCATTTAAAATTGGAGAAGGAGATCCTGCAACACTCATAATTGCTTGATTTTTGATAATATTCCGCACATTGATTAGGAGTATTAAACACATTGATTTCTTTTTGATGTAAAAATGTTGATTTCTAGCATATCTTTCCCCGCTTTCCAGAATATCTTTTCCCGCTTTCTTCGCTAACATCTAAAGTCTAAACTTATTCACTGTCTCAATCAAGATAGGCGTTGTCGTTTTTTATGGCCGAAAATCGACGTTAATATCACTATCTTTATTAGAAAGCTGACAAGAGATGCACAAAAGCAAAAGCAAAAGCAGAATTGTTTTATTAGGAACCTCACAGCAAATTGGGTAAAGGAAAAATTATTGACCATGTTTCACGGGGAACCTGACAAGAAATGCATAAAGCAAAAGCAAAAGAAGAATTGCTTTTCTTAGGAAAGGAAGAATGATTGAACCTGCTTTATTAGGAACCTGAAGAATGATTGAACCTGCTTTATTAGGAACCTGACAAGAAATCAAGAACAAAACAAAAGCAAGAGTGTTTTATTAGGAACCTGTCAAGAAATTTACTAAAGGAAAAATTATTGACCATGCTTTATCAAAGTTTTTTCTTTCTTTAAGAATTGTTTTGAAATGATATGACCCACACGGTTGTTTTTTGAGAAAGACAAAAAATTTGTAAAAAATTGTTTTTATTAATCTTTTCTAGAAAGCCTTGTTATGGATATAAACATTATTTCTTCAAAGTAGTCCTTCTTGTTCAAGTTTCTAATTAACTCCCTTTCCAGCTTTACAGCTTCTCTACTCACCTGAAATAAAGTAATGGCAGAACCTGAAATAAAGGGGTTAATGGCAGAAGCATACTCTCCAGTATTGTAGGAGCCTCATTTTCAAATCTGGCTTCCCCAGCCACTTAGAGGCCAATGTTATGGTTGGGGGGGTGTAACAATGAGCTTGACAAACGTCAAGACGGGCAGTTTCAACTATCAAGCTGTGATACTGGCGCGGAGAAGCAGTACTGCACAGAGCCACCGAGTCAAGGTTTGGGAAGTCAAGGTTTGGGTTGATTCACTCAAAGAAGCATTTTATGATGCAGATGACTTATTGGATGAGTTGTCCACAAAGGAATTGCAGGAGCAACTGCTTACCAGCAAAAATTTGGGGAAGAAGGTGCGTTTGTTCTTTTCGAGCTCGAACCAATTTCTTTATAGCATTAAAATGGCCCATAAGGTTAAGAAAATTAGAAGTAAATTAGCTGAAATTGCTGAAAACAGGAAGTTTCTCTTGAATGATGAACATCGTGAGAGGAAGGATGATAGGACTAATTATGAGGAAAGAGACCAAAGTCACTCTTTTTTACCTGGGTTAGTCATTGGCAGAAAAAGGGATAAGAAGGCAATGATGAAATTTCTTTTGTCGTCCAATTGTGAGGAGAATGTGTCAGTTATTTCTATAGTTGGTATTGGAGGTTTAGGGGAAGACTACACTAGCTCAATTGTATTCCATTTATGCAGACAGTTGAGTCTCACACTTTGACTTAAAAATTCATTGGGTTATTGATTTCTCGATAATTTTTGATGTAAAAAACAATATTGAAAGTTTTTAGGAATTCTAATCCTCGTTGAAAAACCTGCAAGAAATTGTGAATGAATACCTTGAAAAATTCTTTCTCCATTGAAAAATTGATGGGAAAAGTATTGCTTGTGTTGGATTGATGTTGGCCTATTGAAAATGGGTTTTCTCTTTTGAAGGATTTGTTAGATGTGAGTGCAGTGGAAGTCAAAAATAATAGTAACCACGCGTTTCTTGTAAAATTGTTTTGCAGAGACGATTTATCAGATTCAATTACGATTACAAGGTCTAGTAAGCAGGGACTCTGGTCTCTGTTCGTTACAAATGGGCCTTCAGACAGGAAGTGGAGCGCAGTGAGATGAGCTTAGTTAGGAAAGGGATTGTTGGCCACACTGTTGTGCCTGGAGTTCCTTTAGCTTAGGCAATAGGACGGCTTTTCTGTATTTTAAATCCACTATCTGAGTGGCTTATCTTTCAGATAAAGAACTTGTAAATATTTAGAATAAAGGAAGATGCTTTAGTATTTTGCAAACGTTAAGTTGAGTTTATAACATTTGCCGCTCAACTTAAAAACATTGCTTTGCTTCTTGTAGTTTTGTTTCCAAAAGACACTTAGAATTAATGTTAGTCACATTTGGTTCTCACTGGGTGTTCACAGGTGTATATTGAAGTATCAGCGTTTTCAACCATCTTGAGATATAGGTTTACGTATTTTTGAGGAATCTTTTTTTATGGACGGTCTTTTCTTTCAAGAGCTTTCTTTCAAGAAGTAGAAAAAGATTCATTGGGTAATATAATAACATGTAAAATGCATGATTTGATGTCTGATCTTTCTGTGGAAGTAGCAAGAGAGGAGATTACTTTATTAAATTCAGAGGCAGAGTATGTTAATGTGAAAGAAAGAACTCTGCATTTATCCATTAATCCTGAAGTTCTTTCACGGAGGCAACTTGCATGTATCTTTCCCAATGCCAAGAAGGTGCGAACGTTTCTATTATTCAATAAATCAATGGCAAATGAGATTAGAGAAGGACAATTGGATATAATTTTTTCTGATTTAGACGAATAAGGGTGTTGGATTTGTCTAATTTGTCGATTGAAAGGGTGCCGCCTTCCATCGACAAATTGAAGCACATAAGGTATCTCGATCTTTCTCAGAATAAAGGCATCAAGGTCCTTCCTAATTCTATAACAAATCTCCAGAATCTACAGACTCTGGTACTAATTGAGTGTGGAAGGCTTAAGCAATTGCCTAAGCATATGAAAAAGTTAGTCAACCTCAGACACCTTTACATTCGAGACTGTCCTAGCTTGACTCATATGCCATATGGGTTGGGTCAATTAACTTCCCTACAGAATTTGTCAATGTTTGTGGTGGCAAAAGATAATCGCATCTCCAAGCAAAGTGGTGGATTTGATGAACTTTGTAATTTGAACAACTTGAGAGGAAGTCTTCGAATATGTAATTTGCAATATGTGAAAAATGCAACAGCTGAATTTGAGGCTGAGGCTGCCAAATTGGAAGACAAGCAACACCTTCAAAACCTTCATTTAGCATGGAAGTTGGGTGCTCCCTATGATAAAAGTGAGAGCAATATAAATGATGATAATGGGGAAATATCATTAGAAGAGCTGCAGCCTCACCGAAATCTAAAATGGTTAGTTATATCTGGGTGCGGAAAAGTTAAGTTTCCTGGTTGGATTTCTACCCTTTGTTGTTTGGTGGATCTTCAAATCAATAACTGCACAAATTGTAAATGTTTCCCACCATTAGATCATTTCCCTTCTCTTAAACGTTTGTCGATTCAGAATTTGACAGAATTAGAATACATAGAGAATGGCAATCGAATGTCATTGAGGGAACTTTTGTCATAAATTGCCCGCAATTCAAGGCGATGGACGATCAGGCTTCAGTTACTCATTCACTGCCTTACTTATTTGGTATCATGGCTGCCCTATTGCTTCATAGCCATTGATTCCATTGTCAGTCATTGTACTGGCGAAATTACGAGCTCATGAGGTCATAAGGGACCACTTGAAATGAGATTTCGGTGTTCAGTATAGATCCTTTGTCCTTCATTTTCAAGTTCTTCATCTTCAACTTCCCCTATTCTGTCCTCAATTGAAAGTTTTATGTGTATATCCTGAATAGATGTCTGATTTCTGGCAAGAGGAGTTGATCAGAACCTCACTTCCCTCCGACAGCTTCCATATTGCTGATTGCCAACATAACAAACTCTACCTTGTGCTATAAACACCTCTTACTTCCCTTATGGCTCTTACCTCATATGTGGTTGTGGAAAAGCAGATTTTTCTAGTGATAAGAATTGAATATGGGTATGCGTGCTAGTGCCTTAGAAGCCTGAAGGGTTCATTAATTATGGCAAAATTGGTATCTCTTCCAAGTGGCTTTCAATGGGTTATACTCTACGCAAACTTGAGCATTGAAGCTGCCCAAATTTGATGTCTTTACCTAATGGATGACAATCTCACTTCGATTACAATATCTAGAATTCGGACAATAGATATGTCCAAATCTATCAGAAAGATGCAGCAAGAACATGGGTGCTGACTGGCCTATGATTGCTCATATACCAAATATTAAAATTGATGGAAGGTGGATTCAATTGGATGGCCATTACAAAACTTGATTAGAAAAAATCATCAGATTTTCATTCAGGTATGTCCAGTCCCTTTAATCTACATCTTTTAATATTCTGCATTTAAGAATCATGGATTTAACATGTTCTAATTTAATTTTTGATCTTGCAGGTTGTTAAGACAAAAGGCGAGAGTGGTTTCATGTTATAAGAGTTCTTGTTGAAAGGCGAGATTTAAGGTAAGAATTTACTCATGTCTGGTGCAAGAGTTAGTTCTTTTTCTTGCTTTTCTAATTTTTTTGTTTGATTTTCGTTCTTCTAGGATGTTTTGTCATGCAGCTTCTTAAACTGCTGAGCTGAAATAAAGGCAGTTTTCTCCATCAAATTCTTTTGAGTTTTGCCTTCCCTGAAGTTATCTGTAAGTTAAATCAATAACATTTCCATAACTTTTCACTTTCAGAATAGTCATCCAAGGTTCCTTGCAGTTTAACTTCAGTGTAATTTGATCTTTCAGAAAAAATTGCTAGGCATTTGCCCCAAATTAAAGCCATATCTGGAGGCTTTGGATGTATTGTGTTGAATATGCCACACCTATATCTTCTGTTTCTAGTTATCGATCCACTTTTCTTTCTTCGGAACATCATAGGTTTGTAAGCTTTAATACCAATAACCTATCATAAATTGTGGGCAGAAATCGAATTGGGCACTAAATCAATCATTTGATGTCCTTTCAGGAAATTCACTCTTCAGATATTTAAAATCTTTGAGTTGTTATTTGGTCATGAAACATTTTCCCAGTTGATTTTTTTTTTTTTTTTTTTTTTTTTTTTTTTTTTTTTTTTTTTTTTTTTTATCTTTTCATGTTATTTTAGAAGCCCAAGCTTGATTTTCATGAAGATATTTAAGTGTTGTTATTCTGTATTTGATGTTGCAGGCTGATCAAGATGCATCTTTCAATGCTTTCTTTTAATATCGCAAAAGGGATGTTAAGTGGTGTTAACGGTGAGAATTAGACTATTCATTTCATTTTCATGTCTTACACGACTTCATTTTTGCTTTTCCTAATTATTTTGTTCCTCTCTCATTCTTTTTAGGTGTGTTGCTATGCATCTTCGTGAACTTCTACATGGGGCCAGGATTCATTCAGTTCAGGAGCATTTCTCATGTCTTTGAGAGTAGGATTGCAGCATTTCTCATGTCTTTCGGGAAGCAAATTTTTCAGCAGATTGTTTGGCAAATATTGCAGCACTCTTGGGCACCCATTGTTTGGAATCTCCTCGAGCTGCTCTTAATCAATAGGTTCTTCATGATATGTGTGGTGTCTTTTATGTTAGAGACTGTTTGTAGTTTCTTTTGAGCTTTGCTCTTCTATTTGTACCTAAAAAAAAGAACGACTGAAGTTTGAACTTTGATATCAGAGGCATGCAGAAAACAATGAGAACAAGTACAACCACCAAGAGGGACATGTTCGCTAACACTGATGCTTCCTTGACTTAATCAATATTTTTACTTACATTCTATAATTATGTTCAGATTAGTTTGAAAAGTTTTCGGTGTTATACTGATAAATTATATAAAAGTTCGATGTGCACAGAATTAATGAAACTAGTTGATAAAATTGGAGAAGTACTTCCAGAAATAGAAGCAGCTTGGCAACTGCCCATCAGAAATTCAGGCACTATACTTGCTAAATAACACAATTAAGATAGCCAAGTTTCTTCTTCAGGACTGCTGTGAGTCTAACAAACTATATTTGCTAAGCATGCTTCAATAATTTCAGATGTGGATGAAATGAGAAACTCTTTAACTATATCTGTATGCTTAATTGCTTATCCACGCCCAAATTCTATTCAGATGGATTTTCCTTCATTATATTTTATTATTGGGATGTTGGTGGTCTGAAACATTTTCAGTGTAGAAATTGGAATTATTGATTTTGTTTTTCCTCCTTTCCTTTTATGGTTATCAGCAATACATTCACTGCAGCCATTAACTTATGGTTGATAGTGCTTCTTGCATCACTTTTAGGCAATAACAGGAGATGCAGCGGTCTCAAGACGTCAAAGATTTAGGAGCAGGTTTGGACAAAGTTTAGGCCAGATTCAAACTATGGTCCCAACCCCGTTGGCTGCCAAGGTTTGTCAAATTACAGGCCTTTTGAATTCTATTTTACCTCTTTCTCTCTCTCTCTCTCTCTCCCCTTTTGCCGGATGATAAACACTCTTCAATGAGAAAATTGCAGAACCAGTTTATGCCTCTAAAAAGTCCTTGGTTTTCTTGCCTCAATAAATAATCTAGATGTTAATAACAAATGAACCCCCTGAATCCTGTTTATTCCACGTCACATTTTTCAGCATTCCTTTTGGTTGTTTTTGCTAGTTTACCTGTTATTTAATACTTGAGTATCTAGTTTACAGAAAATGACGCCAGTGTATTCTTGAGCATCTGTTCTTCGGTAAAATGGATAATGCAACTTTCTTTTGCAGATATCTCGCATTACTGATGATCTAAATGCAGCACAGATCTGTTCCTTCAGTTTACCTGTTATTTAATACTTGAGTATCTAGTTTACAGAAAATGACGCCAGTGTATTCTTGAGCATCTGTTCTTCGGTAAAATGGATAATGCAACTTTCTTTTGCAGATATCTCGCATTACTGATGATCTAAATGCAGCAAAATTTATGCTGGACTCTACTGATAAAGAGGCTGGTGAGGCTGCGCGAACTGTTTCAGCTGGCTACTTCTCCATCTGATTCAAGGGAAAATTCTGAAATGAAAGCTCTTCAAAAATTGCCGCTAAATATCAGCCGTTAGTGGTTAATGATTATATAGCTGTTTAGAATAAATAACTGTTTGATTGAGTATTTAATCTAAAATGACAAAAAAAGATAGACAAACGAAGGATACAGGTGTCATAAAGAAATTAGTGTAGTTATTATATTATCGAACGTTATAATTAATTAAAATAATGCTTTAATCATATTAAAACACTAAACACTATTTCAAACAGAACATAGCATTCATATTACATCCCTAAGGGCCATACTAATAGAGAAAAAAATCTCTTCTCAAACAAAAAAAAAAAAAAAAAAAAAAAAAAAAAAAAAAAAAAAAAAAAAAAAAGAGAAAAGATCAATTAGGAAAAGTAGATAAAGTACGCAACAATAAATCTTCCAAAAAGGTCTTGAAATATTACATCATCAATCTGTTTGATAATCTCATACATTATCATTTGTAATTTATTTAACTAAATAATTAACTAATTAATTATTTTTATAAAAGATTCCAATTAATTTTTTTTAATGATAAATAAGTAAATTTGAAATATTACATCATTCAAATCTTTTTCAAATAAAATGTGTACTATTACTAGTTATAATAACATTGGTTAAGATTGATTAAAATTTTATTTTATAATTTTGCCAATAATAAATAAAGAGGATTGTTTTTTTTTTTTTTAAAGAGGATTGTTTTTTTTTTTTTCATCATTGAACTTTTACCAAGATAATAATAATAATAATAATAATAATAATATAGCGATTTTGATTTTTTTTTAATTTATAATATTTCTAATTATACTGCTTTAAAATTTTTTATTAGTAAATTTTTGCTAAAAAGATTCTATTATGATGATGTTGATTTTAATTAATAATTATTGTTCTTTTAATTATTGCTTTCTATTGAAAATAGAGAAGGTTAAGAAGCGAATAATAGAACATACAACTTCTATGTTTACATATTTTTTCCAGCAGGGAGTCCTTTTTTCTTTTTATTATTATTATTATTTTATTTCCTTCAAAAATATGGGAATAAAGAAAAAATCATAGCTTTTTACGAAATTATTATTATTATTATTATTTTAATAATGAGATGGAGAAAGAGGAGACTAAATAATACTATGATTCTACTCTATTTACTTTTGTGCTAATTATATTATGATTCTACTGTATTTCAGTTGTTTTATGTATCTTAATGGATACAAAATTTTTAGATATGATATTTATATGTGAAAGATTGAAATGTCAAAATTTGGTTTAATAATTTTGCAAAAATTTAGCAAAAATTTAGTCATGAAAAATTTTGAGTCTGAATTTTCAGGTATATAACGTCCCATTTTGCTATTGAATCGAGTCGTTGCTTAGAGTCGAGTCGGGCTGAGCCAAAACCCGGTTCGAGCCATTAGAGTCTAGAGTGGGCTAGAATGAAATAAGGAGAAGAAGTGGACTTACTTGAAGGAAACAAAAAGATCAAAGTGTAAGGATTAGGACTTTCTTGCACTAAAATATAAAGTTGAGGTAGGAAGTTGTACCATTTTGACACTTGAGGTACCATTTGGTAATTTTCACATAAAAATCAATGACATTCTATTCTAGAGACCTACCCCGTGAGTTTCCAATTTCACATTTTCATTTCTTCATCCTTATCTTTTCATCTTCTTCCTCCTAACTTTCGCTCTTCCACTTTTCTTCTCCATCACTTTAATGGTAAGTGAAGATGTTAATGGGATTCAAACATTAATTCACTTCTATTTCTAAATCGCAAGTAAGTAAACCTTCTTGAATTTCATACTTGAAATCAAATTGTGAATATTTTTAGATGATTCATAAGAATTCCTCCATGTATATGGAGAGGTGAGCTCAAAAGGTAGAAGAAAAAAGGAAGCTAAGAAGAAGATTCCCAAAGCCTTGTTAAGTGAAGGTGTGATATCTCTTTTCAATTTACCTTTCTTTGCATGAGAAATTGTGTTGGTGTGTTGCTAATGAGACAATATTGCTTCTGTTGAGTGGGAGGACTGATAATGGGTGAGAAAAACAGGGGAGGTATTGAATAAAAGTGAAGTAATAGTGAGTTAGTTTATGCTGAAACAGGGGAGTTACTGGTACTGGAAATTTTACCAGTAACTTCATCTTGATTTTGACCCCATTTAATGATGGAATTAGGAAGTGTCGTAGAAGAGTTATTTGTTCCTCTACGTGTTAGCTTTACATGGGTTTTTGAATCATTCAAATCGGAGTTGTATATTGAGAGATATGATCAAAAGAGTACAGACAGTGCAGGCTGGAAAACGCCACGCGCGCGCGCGCGAATTGCATGAAGAGCTCGCGACTTGTGCCTGAAGCTCACTGACTCTCATTTTGCACTGTACGCGCTCGCGACTTTCACCTGAAACTCTAAACTCTCTGCCTCTCATTTGGCACTTCTCGCGCTCGCGACTTTCAGGTGCGCGCTCGCGACTTGGCCCTTGGCCTGTAAGCACTCGCGACCTTCATCGCTCGCTCGCGAATTTGGCCTGGGAACTCACTGTCTCTCATTTTGCACTCTACGCGCTCGTGACTTTCAAGTGCGCGCTCGCAACTTATGCCCGATAACTCACTGTCTCTCATTTGGTGCTTTACGCGCTCGCGACCTTGCAAGGCGCGCTCGCGACTTGTGTTTTCATGCACTTTTGGACTGTGTTTTCAATGGCACTTTTGGACTTCTTTTTTCTATGCAATTGGATTCCTTTGCTCCACTTTGTATTGCCTCCAATCATTATTACAACAAATACAAACATTAAAGTCAATGTATCAAAACAACATGCAAGCGTTATGAATTGTATTCCTTTTCTCAACTTGTATGTCTTCAACCATTTTAAAGCAAAAAGACATCATGAACACATGTATAAAAACAAAATGCAAACATGCAAGTGGTGTGAAACTAACATGACACAGGTTGCCTACTTGGCGAGGCTATCAGCATACAGGTAAGCAATGAAATGATGAAGCAGTTAATTGTTATGACACAAATATGTGAAAATGACATGACACAAGCATGCAAATTATGACACAGTTATTTTGCTTTTGCTTATCTATTGACATTCCATTAATATGCTCCATTGAGGTTAGGTAGAAACGGAGTAGAAACCAACGTAGATAAGGCTATGGTTCGCGAATATAAATCAGCAGATCTGCGCCCATACAGTTTGGTAATCCGAGCTACAGGCCGTTGAGTGGATAATGGATTATACAGGCCATGAGCAGCCAGCCATACAGTTTCATCCAGTTTCATACAAGTTTTTTTCCTTATCACTTTCGGTTTCACTATTAACCTTATGGAGCTATAACAGTTATTCGACCTACAAATTGCATAATCATACAGTATACTACAGCAAGAAAGATCATAAGGGAAAATTGAAAGTATATCATGATATGTGTGCTTACATCCATATTGTGAGTATAATGTTTAATTTCTTACATAATGTATGTGCTTATATGTTTTCTTCAGTTCATTGTGATATTCACTGAGTTTAATCCAAAGTTGCAGAGTTCATACAGCATAAAGAACATCAAGGTAAGAATTATGAAAGTATGCATGGTTTATAATATGCTTACAAGTTTTTAAATTTATCTTAATTCTTAAGGAGCCATACAGTCATGAGAATGTTATTATCATAACTTAATATGATGTTGACTAAAAAAGTGGCATAAGTTCATAACACGCATATGAATAGCAGTAAGACAATGAACATATACTGTTTATGTAATCTACATTGTTTATTGATTTCCCCATTCATACAACACAATGAACAGCAGGTAAAGATCATGATAATATCATAAGGTGTGATTTAAGATTCCATGTAAAGGAAGTTATGAGATAATTAGAACTAAATTAATTGATGTTTTATGAATTTAGAAGTTTATTCGTTTGCTATAAAGAGAAACAATTTATGTTGAAAATTTACTAATTCTATGAGTATCAATGCTTTATGAAATTTGTTTTTAAAGTTAGTTGCCATCGCACTTTGTTTAAGTATGTGAATTAATTGAGTGCACCAATCTGAGTTTTATACTCAGCGGGTCGATTTTTATACGGCGTAGGTTGAAGATCGTGGTTGTACTTGAAGACTTTGAGGAGTACGTTTCAAAGCAGAAGTGACTAACTTGGTCATAGTAGAATTGAGAAGTTTGTAATATTTAAGGAATTATGGCATGTAATTAAGAATTTATGGCATGTTAAATATATTATTACAATTTGTTTAGAGCTTATGTGATTGGGAAATATAATTGAAGCATGTAATTATTGTGGTGTAAGTATTTTGGAGGAAATGATTTGAAATATTTTAACTATAGTTGGTAATGAATTAGGTCCATGAAGACTTGATATAGATCATGAAATGCAATTATATGCTGGAATTTTCAATGCTAATTGAAGGATTTTATAACAGTTATGACTATAATAATATAATATAAGTGTTGTTGTGTTATGATTGATTTAGTTGGAGATATTGAAAGTTTGAAGTTTAATTTGGGAGTCCTTTTAATATTCATATTTAGCATACAGGATGATATCAGCATGAACAATGAATTAAGTTCAACCAGATTGTAAGCGTCTCGTCTCGGCTCGGTTCATTCGGGTTAACGGGTGGACCGGGAAGGGATGTTACACAATCTTGCTTGTACGCACCAAAAATTGCATTATACCCTCCCAGTATGTTTGTTGATAGTTCATAGAATCAACTACATATATTTCTTCTTTCTTGACATTAGCAATCATTAGAAACCAATGCTGAAAATATATTATAGGGAAAAAGACCTGTAATATCATACAGTAAACAATATCCAATTGACACGTATACAATTGTGATATGGTCTCGGGTTAAGGATCTGGTTATGGGTCGTGGGTTAAGGGTGTGGATGGTGTTTGAGTGGCTGGGGATGGTGTTTGAGTGGCTGGGTTGATGGATTTCTTTTTATGACCTATGGTGACTGTAGTTTAGGCTCTAAAGAGGGAACTTGGAACCTCTTGAGACTAAAGTGCTCAAAGACTTGAATGATTTTGAAGCTGCCTGTTCTCATTGTTGTTCTTGTTTAAATACAAAAGTGAGGCATA